CACAAGGGTCTTTAAAAGTGGAAGAGGGAGGTAGAAGACGTCCGGTGTGATGTAGACTCTACTTGCTGCTGCTGTATCTGAAGATGGACTAAGAGACCATGAGCCAAAGAAGGCAGAGTCTTCAGAAGCTGGAAAAGACATAGAAAACCTTGCCTCCCCTAAAGACTCCAGGGACTAATACAGCCCTCCTGACATCTTAATTCTAACATAGTGGGACCAGTATCAAGACTCCTGACCTGCAGAACTGTAAGATTTTAAGCTGTTAAAAGTTTGTAGCCTCTGAGAGGCCAAGGCAGGCGAATCACAAGGTCAGGGATTCAAGACCAGCCTGGCCAACATGGTGAAACCCTTTCTACTAAAAATACAAAAATTAGCTGGGTGTAGTGGTGCATGCCTGTAATCCCAGCTATTCAGGAGGCTGAGGCAGGGGAATCGCTTGAACCCAGGAGGCAAAGGTTGCAGTGAACTGATATTGCTCCACTGCACTCCAGCCTGGGTGACAGAGCAAGACTCTGTCTCAAGAAAAAAAAAATAAAAAAGTTTATGGCAACTTGTTAAAAGTAGTAACATAACAAATTTTAAAATGACAAAATATGCAAATATATAAAACTGCAAATTATAGTTAAGTACTTTGAATAAAACATGGAAGAGATTAACTGAACAGGGGAGGGTAGTCAGAAAAGGCTTCTTGAGGAAGTAATATTTTAGCCGAGACCTAGAAGCTCCATCAGCCCTGCCAAGTGCAGGTGAAGAGCCTGACAATGATTGCCTCTTACATTTGTGTTCAAGTTGTCAACTTAATGAAAATTCTCCCTTCTCCTCTTCCACCTCTACCCTCACTGAAATCTATTTGCCCTCAAATGTTAATATTGTGCTTTCACCTTTCAGTTACCTATTCCACCAACCTGCCTAGGTATCCTGTGTGATTCAGGGAGGGAACAGACTTCCAGTTGCACTGTCACCAGACATAGTACTTATAAGGCTCAAGCCTGAATGGGATCTTGTCCATCAGATTAGTTCAGGTGGGCAGAGTGGAGCTGAAAATTCCTTTTGAAGGTTGAGGAAAGATTTATTTTCCAGGTGGATATGTACATGATAGCTATGAGTAACCTTTTTGACTAAGATGGGAGAGCTTACCTAAGCTTACAATTTTTGGGGAAAAGACACACACTTAACTTGCCCCAGCTATTAATGGAGACTGCTACTTGTATCCAGAACTCTTCCTCTTAAAGATTACATTACACTGTAAGACTTATTTTTTTCCTTTGAGACGGAGTCTCGCTCTGTTACCAGGCTGGAATGCAATGGCACTAACTATCTCTGCTCACTGAAACCTCTGCCTCCTGGTTCAAATGATTCTCCTGCCTCAGCCTCCTAAGTAGCCGGGAATACAGGCGTCTGCCACCAAGCCCAGCTAATTTCTGTATTTTTAGTTGAGACTAGGTTTCACCATGTTGGTCAGGCTGATCTCAAACTCCTGACCTCTGGTGATCCATCAATCTCAGCCTTCCAAAATGCTGGGATTACAGGCGTGAGCCACCGCACCTAGACTTTCTTAAATAGGTAAACTTCTCAACCAATTAGCCAGGTATCGCATGACTCAACAAGAAGACTTGAGGTTTTAGTTTACAATTGTTTCCTAAAATTAGAGGTGCCTTTCTTAACTTCTCTTTACCATCATCCATCTCTCACGTCACATATACATACATGAACCAATGGGTTTACTGTTTTTGTCTCAGGAAGCCAAAGGACAACTCAAAATTTCACTGAGGCACCACGATTCAGTGCAGGGCTTCCTGTACTCCTGATACCTTCTGCAGGGAGTGAACCTGAGTCAGAAAACTATAGTATTCTGATATTTGATGAGTCTAAATTTCAAAATTTAGAGAATAAAACAAACAAAACACTGACTATATAAATATTAGAGAGCCTTCTCACATCCAGGCAAGAAAATCATGTTGAAAACTAATCTGTCACGAAGCACTTCTCAGCACTTTTATCTTTGTTCCTTTGTTTAGTGTGCTCACATTCATTCTTTCACTAATTGTCAGTTACTTTCTGAGATTTAGAAGCTTGGTTTTACATTTACTTCCAACAGAGATCAACATTACATAACCACACAAATGGGGCATCTATCAGTTGTTTTTTTCTTGGCCCCTCACTTCTAGAAGGTTTTCATTCATTTTTGCTATTACTGTATATAGTAAATCCTTCTCTTTTGCTGTTTTCCTGCTTCACCAATGTTGCTCTAATCACTTTTTACACCATCAATAATGCACTTTGCCCCCATACTAGTCTTGTTTTCCTGTTCTTTCAGACCCTCATTCTAGAGCATTCACCCATGGATATTTCCACTTACCTATTGAGTCTACTGAGTACCTTCTACATATCAGTTAACACTTTGGATGTTGAGTAACCTTCCATGAACCACACATCTTCAAATCTCGGCCCTTGGAGGCCTTGTATCTTAGAGATTAGTTGAGGGGATTAAAAAATGAAACTCCCAATTCAGGTTTGGAAGCGGGTGGGAAGGGCCTGCACTTACAATATTCCAGATGATGCTATCAATTCAGAATGATGGAGAATATGCAATTTAAGGGAGCTAGTCTGACATCTGTGCTCAAGGACTGGAGGAAAACAAGACTAAATCATACTTATCTGGAGTATGGAGTTTCCTAAGGGCAGAGCAAATGCAGTCTCAAGTGGAAGCCAGCATGGAGAGGGTGAATGGTGGGAACTGGGGGAGGCAAATCACTTAAAAAGGCACTTGTATTAAGACATCAGTGAATGAGGTGGGGTCTCAACCAAGTTTCAGGATTTAAAAGGGATAATCTTAAGTACAGTCAAGGGCAGAATCATAGGTTATTAACACAAGACACTCAGAACATGGCATAAACATCTAACTTGAAATTTAGAAGAAACTTTATAGTATGGAAGGCACAATTTTGACAACTCTGTGGACTGCAACATATTCAAACAGAATCGTGGGAATTTTAGATGAAAACCTTAGAGAGGAATCTAAATGCTAGAGACAACCATTATCTCAAAGACATGCTTTGTACCTTGTGTACCTAACTTGTTCACAATGATGCTGGCCACCGTGACAAGAGCCAACCATTGAAATTCAGATATGGCTGACAACTACACACCTGGCGTATTAGGTGCTGTTACCAAAATGATAAAGGAGAATACAATTGATGAGACACCTGTGGATTTAGAAATGTGGGGTTGCAACACCTATTGTGTCAACTAACAAACTGAGTAATGACTGAATGAAAGGTTACTGAGTCTCTCACCTGCATATAAATTCAAAGGTGTTTTGACGTTCTCCTGCCTTCTCATGGCTCATCATTCCCATTAGATGTTAAGTATATACAGCAAAATCAACAGGCAATTCTCAAAATACTTGCCTGTGCAGCATCCTGCCCCACAAAGATTCTAATCTAATGCATATAGATTAAGGTTCCAGATTTGTAGGCCTTTCTATCTTTGGGTAATTTTCAGACAACTGGTTAGGAACCTTATCTTGGTAAATGCATGATCACTGTAGAATTCTGTCTTCACTGAACTTAATTCACTGCCTGCCTAACACCTTACAGGAACCCAATTCTCATCTACTCTTAGAACATTCACTAGTCTCACCCAGATTCCCCAACCCGCTGAATAGTGTGGTATTCCATCTGGATCAGCACATCTCAACAAGTACAGAAGAAATGAGGTCGTCAAAGCTTTTTTTCAATGTTTTTCACTCTATATAAGTTGAAGCCAATATTAAGTGAACTAAAAACTTCACAGTACATATGCTTTTATAAACAAATGTGTGATCAGTACATGCTCACTTCTACTAAATGTAAATATGCTTAAATTTAGGTCTTTAAAAAAGTAGTCATGCAGTTATTAAGGATATAAATTCAACCTGAGAAATAATAACTTAAAGGGCCAACTAACAGTTCATTTTGGGGCACTTACTACCAGCCTCAGGTCTTTGTTCTTTATACTATGTTAAATACTCATTAAATCAATGACTAATGCATTTATGTTGGCATTTACTTAGCCCTTTTTATCTGTGGGTCCTGCATCCAACCAATTGAAAATACTCAGGAAAATCTTTTTTACAAAGTCCCCAAAAGCCAAACCTGATTTTGCCACACACTAAATACTATACTCAAATCTACATGAAAAATGCGTAGGGCTATTTTATCAGATTATACAAACAATGTATGATTAAAGCATATGTGAGGACATATAGATCTACATGCCAATACTGCACCACTTTATAAGGGACTTAGCATCCAAAGAATTTGGTGTGCACTGAGGGTCCTTCTATCTATTCCCTCACTGATACTGAGTATCAACTATGCTAAAACTGCATGAGCCTAGAATTCTTATGTGCCATAAGCAGGTACGACATAATACCTCATTTAAAAATACAATTCTTTTTAACTTTTAGTAATGGCTGAACTTTGAGGAGTGCTCAGAACATAGCACTCTCATGTAACAGACGTAGTACAGATCCACTAGTAAACATTCAACCCTGGAGCCAACAAACATTTGACATTTATTACAAGGTGTTTAGGACTTTTTATACACCATGGCCTCCTATTAAACTTTCATCTTATCAAGTGGCAAAAAAAACCCCACACAAAAACCAAAAAACTCCCACCTTATTTACATGTGCATAATATAAACAAAATGAAAATGCTTCAGCCTTAAAAAGATTTAAGAAAACTCAATTATGATCTGAGAACCTGTCAGATTCCATAAAACAGTAGGCAGAGCATAACCTTTCAAAATATTGACATATTTTAATTCAGAGTCCATTTACCATCTTTTTATTCTGCTTGAAAATAAACTTCTAATCTCATATGTAAATGTAGATTTCACAGGTAACGAAGGTTAAATAAGATAATGCAAACAACTTTGGTTCTTGTCTCCATTTCCCCCATTAACAACTTTTAGACCATCTGTAGTGACAAAATAAAACAAAACACCAGGAAAACTGCTATAACCACCTTAAAGTTTTTATTTCAATAAGCTCACACTAGACAATTTCTTAACAGCTTTAAAATGCAGTATTTATTAACATTAAATGCACTCGAACTCAAACAGCCAGACCAAAGTATAAATACAGAATTAGGTACATCTCAAAGTTGTGTCCGTGTTTACATTACCGGATACAGAAAACTAAGCATTCTTCAACAACTTTTCAATGGTCTTAAAATTCATGGAATATGTGCATTTTCCTAATGATTCTTTAAAACTAAGAATACCATATATGGAATTTATCAAGGCAGACAACTACATTAATTTGGACTTCAGTAAGAATGTAACTCACAACCACTAAGCTAAAGAATAATCTGAAGGATTAAGTGGTTATGATGATCTTATTTCTTCCATCAGACACCAAGAACTGGCTCTTTGTATACTGAGCTCTCCTTACCTTTACTGCTCAGTTGAGAGGCTCTTAATTCTCTAAATCTAGACAAACTATGCGGGACTGTCAATTCAACAGTATACCATTAATATATAATAAACTTTAATGTGACACTGAGTTGTTTTCCAGGCAGTTGCAGGTTGCATTTTGTCAGGAGTCAGTGTGTCTTCAAACTAAACAGGAGAAAACCCAAGTCTGGCTTGTAGTAGTTAGACAGATTTGCCTGTAAAACGAAGATCTCAAAAGTTTTCAGTAAATCTCCAGTACTTTGCAAGCAGCTTTAAAAAGAATTTATAAAATGTTAAGTGCTTTCTTTCCAAATATAGGCTTTAGAAAAAGGTGTACATGCCAACACCAAAGAAAAAAAATTGACCCACTTTTTTCCCCGCAAAATAGTTAAGGCTATCTATTAAACCTGAAGCAACATGACCTCTCATGTATCAAGCTACTTCAAGGTTAAAGCATTTTAAGAACAAGGTGTCAAAGCTGTTTTTTCCTCAGGTCAGAGATGAGGCCATTACCAACTTGTTCACTTATCTGAATTTCAAAATGGCTAAATTAATGTGAACCTTTATTACAATACTTGCATGGATTTGTTGGCATGTTATCATGCCTAAGAAAATCTTAAATAGAACCAAGAATGTAAACCTTGCTTCACGTTCTAAAGCCAGAAACAAATCAAAAGCAATTCCTATTAAATAAACCCTATACAGCCACAGATCACTACCAATCACACAACAAAACAAAGAGATTTAAATCTCAGTTCAAGCCCAATTAAGTTCTGAACACAATGAATACTACAGTTTCAGTATCTAGGGAGAAAAAGCCATTTAAGTCTTTGTTATTAATATTTGACTTTCATTTTAGAGCATTTAAGAAATCATCTGGCAGGCTTCCTATCACACTGTCCCATTAAAATGCTAGTGTATTTCCCCAAAAGCTTTAAAATAAAACTATATAGTCTGACAAATGTAAAACAAAGTATTTTCATTTATAACCAAAGCACATCATTTTGCAAACTACAAGACCATGTTACTATTATGGGACTTTTTTTTTCTTTCTGAGATGAAGTCTAACTCTGTTGCACAGACTGGAGTGCAGTGGTGCAATTTCAGCTCACTGCAACCTCTGCCTCCCAGGTTCAAGCAATTCTCCAGCCTCAGCCTCCCAAGCAGCTGGGATTACAGGCGTGCGCCACTGCACCCAGCTAACTTTTTTGTATTTTTAGGAGAAATGGGGTCTCACCATGTTGGCCAGGCTGGTCTTGAACTCCTGACCTATTCAGATAGTCCGCCCGCCTTGGTCTCCCCCAAAGTGCTAGGAATATAGGCGTGACCCACTGTGCCACTGGCCAGGACTTTTTAAACAGTTTTAAAGCCCTGTTTGTCACTAAACCAGAAAGACACAATTTTTAGGTCTCCTTCAATTTGAAAAGTTTTGAAACTTGGCTAATGTACAATTCGATTTCCATCATAAATCACTGTTCACTTCACATACTGAAAATCTGTCTTTTCATCAATTCCAGAAAGATAAAATTCTTACCTTTCTATTCAGGAATCCAAGATTAAGTTCCTTAAACTTTAAGAACACATTAGAGGTGAAAACCTTTGTTAGACTTCACACAGTATTTTTAAAAGCTGATTTCTAGATTTATTGGGTTGTCTAACCTAGTGTTATGGAAGTTTATTTCTTATTACTAAGATAGCATCTTTAAAATACATTGACATTCCTCAAAACTTAAGTTTCCAAACATCAAGTTTGCCCCTACTGCAGCTTGGGTCCAATTTTAACACCTGTGTTTTAAAATCTATTATTCAGGTATCCCACATTTTTCTACTCAATATACACACAGGCTAGAGACAAAACACATGAAAAGAGAGAAGGCAGAAATGGTGAATAAAACACTGTAACTGCTGCTTCTTAGTTTCCACTTCAGTGACTTAAGTCAAATAAGCCTGGAATCAACCATCACTGTCGCCAAAGTCTAGCTTATGCAAGGAGTAGGGAACATAAATGTTAACTACAGACTTAAAAATAAATGACTCTGAATCTCACTCCACCACTACACCCTTGGCATTTGGGAAGAGTGTACACATACATAGATCTGTTATTCTATTTAGCATTCATGTGTTTTTTTCTTTTAACTCCCATTCTTTTTTTTAAGTTGCAGATGCTGAGAGCAGTCTGAGGACCCTGGTCATTTACAGCTAAGAAATCACTAAGGATCAGAAAGAAAAACTAGAATACAGGCAGTTAAGTTACACATCAGTTACTCATGTATTGGTAAACTAGTACTTGTTTAATAGAAACAAACTGTACCCCCCACCCTAAATTCCATGCTTAAAAAAAATCCATCTTTATACACTGCTTTAAACACAATGGCATTCTCTCTAAATTTAAATACTTGAGCAATATATGAGGAACATAATTTATTAACTTTTAGAAAGTAAAATATCCTGAAATAACATTAACTCCAAAGAAAGCAAAAAGGTATATTCTAACTTTACAGATGATCGTTATGTATACTGTATGTTTAAAATAGTCCTATCATAGTCATATCACAATACTTAACAGCCAAATAAATCTAACAAAAAATATAGCCAGAATTTACACTGCCAAATCTGACATACAACACGAGAAGTGAAATGTTTTTGGATGAAAACAAGATGTATTTAAAACAAAAAGTTACAAATTTTCTTTATTACTTCATATCTCTTGTACATTTAACAGTGGAAGTCGAAATCTTCAGCAACATTTAATTTTCACAATCTTCTGGTCACAATCCCCACCAAACTCAACAGGCCGGGACAAGTGCAATACCATACAGAAACACAGCATTGCAACCGATCCCAACCTGTGTAGAAAGGGGTTTGATTTTCCCTTACTTTTCTACAGACTTTTCACTACCACAGTCAGTTTTGCATGGATTTGCACAGCAGAATATCACACAGCTGGATGCAAACCTGCAAAACTAACCATAGAACAGTGTTCAGTAACAGGACAGTTTGGGCGACAGGTCGAAGCTGGAGTTCTACAGCTAGCAGTACTTTAAGTGCTCATAATGCAGTAGATAACTAAACACTACCTGCACTATAAGCACTTTAGTGCTACAGAAGCTGTCACATCAGAAATACACCAGGCAGATTCTACATCGACACAATAAAAGTACACAAAATTAGTAAAAATCATTCATTTGAAGGAAATAGCAGGCCACCATCAGTTTTGCATAGATTTGCACAACTACATTCTTCTTGTAGTGCAACTATGCAAAACTAACAGAGGACTGCAAACAAAAAACTATTAAAATACCTATATACTTGCTTGGCTTCAGTTAGTGGATGAATACATAACTTCTTATGCCAGAAGGAGCACTTAGGGCAGTAGATGCTAATCTACTTCACTATCTGCACTAGATGCACCTTAGAACAAAAAGCACTCAACATCAGCAGGCCCTGCACTTTAAAGCCCATGTTGGCTTCCCGAGGCAGCTGTCACCATAATGCTACAAGTGCCTTCACTGCAGTAGATGCACATATCACTACCTGCACTGTAAGCACTTTGACATTATTCTGACTGGTCACAATCTTCAGTTTTACAAGGTGATGTTCTCTTTATTCCTGCTAAATTTGAAATAGATAATTAGAATTAACACCTCAAACTCTAACAACTATAAACGATACAAATTCAGCATAATCCCCACTGGGGAAGAGAAAATTAGTTTAATTATCTCAAAGATATGAGGTCCACTTAGACACATTTTATGCCTTAAAAATTCTTTACAGAAGGCAATCATAACCAACCATCCAACTAGCACTGGATGTGGTGGCTCTTCCAATGCCTGGCCTTTCCCAAATGGATATAGAAAGGAAAAAAAAAAGACTGCAAATAAAGAACATATATACAGGGAAATTTAGTCCATGTATACCTTTTAGAGGAAATCTTCACATCCACGTGGCAAAACGTTTTCCTCTTCTTCTGGCTTCCACTTAGCAAATACTTGATGAAATGATTAACAAAATTACTGTTCAGACTACATTTCAAGTCTATCAGTCAACTGCAGAACTTAAATATCCTGTTTAAATCTATCAACCCAGGTTATATCTACTTTATACCCAACTTAAAAGAGGTCCTAAAATTACATTTTGTAAACTGCATAAGCCACTTTCCAAAGATGTACAGGAATATTTACACTGTAATTCTACTAACTTAAAATTAGCAAATCCATAATTAGTTTTCTAAAAAAGGTAAATTGTCTAAGGTAAAAAATACCTACTTTTACTCTTTAAGAATCCAATCCTATGATACTCAACTTTACTACAATAGCAAGAGAAGTTTGTTTTAAGAAAAGTTCAAGAAAATCAGAATACACTTACCCACTCCAGAAAACTTCCTTTACAGCAAGTATCCTCAGAAAAGCCACTGGTGCAGTTAGGTCCACGTGTATAATGACTGGAGTAGGGGGAAATAAGGGAAAAAAGATAAATATATTTGCCCAAAATTACTACCACCGTCCAAATCTGTATTTGCCATTTTCCAAACTGCTAATAGCAATTAATTCCATCCATTTGCAAAACTGAGGGTAACCGAGTCGGGCAACACTTAGCAGGATTTAAAAGACCAATAATGTATAGTTAAAAATTGCGGAAGAGAATAAAGTTGAAAAATCCTTAGCTATCAGATACATGCCTTAAATAAGCTCCTAAAATGCTTGATTATGATCAGCAGCAATCACTGACTCCACTGTACAGCTCCAGTAAAAGGGGGAAAAAAAAAGCAGCCCAGGGACTATTCTTCACCACCCCTCCCCCAATCAAGACCTCGTGGCTGCATGCCGGGATAAAGAGTTGTTTCTCCAACTGCTGTGGCCCTGGTGGCATGCCGTTAATTTTCTCTTTTGGTTATATTACAACACCGAGCCTGCCTTCTCCGGTTCCTTTTCCCTTTGCTGCAATTTAGGAACAGAAGACCACGCAGGATCACCCGAGACTGACTGCAAAGTGCCCGCCACGCTCATGGAGCCCGGGCCGGCAGCACATGTCGCACAAGGGGGCGCGCGGCCCTGCGATTCTCCGCGTAGCCACCAGGGGGCGGCGGGTCAGAGTCGGCCCCGCCGGACGCGGCAAACCCCCCCCCAATCCGTTTCCCGGCGGCAGCCGCGCGGCGACCGGCGGCGCCGAGGCCCGAACGCGGCGGGGACGCGGGCGCGCCGCCCCTCCTTTGTGTCCCCCAGGCCCCCCCGAGCCCGGCCCAGAGGGGCGGGGGCTCCGCGGTCGCGGTGCCCGTCGCACGCGGCCCGAGGCCTAAGCCGGGAACAATCGGCGGAGGCGCGCAGTCGCCGCCATGTCCCCCGCCCTCACCCCCGCGCAGCCCGCCCCGCAGGAACATGGCGGCGGGGACGCCGCTCCCGCCGAGCCGGGCCGGCCCTCCCGCGCCGCACTCCCAGCGAGCGGCCGGGTACAGGCGGGTCCACGCCGCCGACGAGGCCGACTCCGGCCTCCTCCCAGGGCCACGGTGGGGAAGTTGCGGGCCCCGCCCCGAGGCTGCCCACGCGGGCTAACAAAGCCCACGCGGAGCGGGGGTGGCGCCCAGGCCGCGCCGAGCTACCGCGCCCCTCCGCCCACCCTCGCTCGTACAAAGTTTGGGGAACCGCGGGCTCCCGCCCACGCCACGCCGCCCTCTGGCGCGCAGGTACCTCGTGGGCGCGCCCCCTCCCGGCCCGCGGCCTGCCCCATGTGCCGCCGCCGCCGCCGCCGCTTTGTTCTGGAGGCGCTTTAACTCTCGCCCCCCGGAGAAACTTTCCTACGCGGGGACCCCACGCCCCGCGCGCGCCCCAGGCCCCGGAGAAGGCGCGGGCCTCGCACGTCCTCTCCCGGAGGGGCCATTGTGTGCGCCGCCCGCCCACCCGCCTTCGGGGCGGCCCAGGAAGGGTCCGCGCGGGTCCCGGGCGCGGCCGCCACGCGCACGCCGCCCCCTCCCACCCTCCCGCCCCGGCCCTGCCCTGCCCTGCCCTCGGCCGGCCCGCGTGCGAGCGAGGGGGCAGCCAGGCGCGGCTGCCACACGCCGGGGCGGCCAACGGCCCGAGACCCGCCCCGGCCACGCCGCCGCCGCCACGCTGCCCCGGGCCAGTCCGCCCCGGGCCGCTCCGCCCCGCCCGCCAGACCCGGGCCGCACACAACAGGTTTCCCTCCGTCGCCGGAGGGGCGGGCAGACTCACCAGGAGAAGTAGCCGCCACCATCTTCGCCTGGCCCGCCGCGGACTCCTGCTCCCGCCTCCCCGCCCGCCTGCGCTTTACTACGACCGGAGGCCCCAGGCCGGGGGTGCGGCCGGCCGGCCCGCCCCGGGAGAAGAGCTTGGTGGAGGGGCGCAAGCCACCGCGGCGCTGCGGGGGTCGTCCCCACCCCCTCGGCCTCGCCCGAGGGCGCGAAGTGGCGCGAAGGCGCAGGTCAGGCGGCGACGGCGGCACCTCGAAGGACCATGTGGGTGAATGAAGGGCGGCGGCTCCCGCCTCAACGTAAATACGGACAAGCCCCACTCCCTCATTAGCATAAAAAACAAAGTACTTCCGACCTCCCCGCCCGCCCGCCAATCACCGCAGGCCCCGCCCACGGCGGCTCGTTCTTGGCGGCCGGGAGAGCGGGAGCCGGGAGCCGCTGGCGGCGCCGCGCAACCTTCCCCGGGCCGCGCTCCCCCGTGGCCCGCCCACCGCCGCCTGCCTCGCGGAGCGCCTCGTCCGGACACCTCGCGCCACGCCTCCGGCAAGCCTTCCGTTAACAAGCTGTGCGCGCGTGCAGACCCCCGCGCGCCGCACACCCTCCTGGAAGCGCACGCTTCCCGGGGCTTCCTGGGAGCCGGGCTCTCTCCCTGGGACTCGACGTGTACGCGATGCGATCACAGTTTATTACTTTACTGGCCCTTGGTGGGTTTCCGAGGTAATTAGGGGCCTGCTCCATGCCATCCGGAACCAGAGAAGTAAAATCCAGGGGCTTTCTCATCGAAACGGAATTACTCGCTGCAAAGATCGTTAGAGACCCAGAAATAAATTACACCCGACACTCTTGTGAATGCACATATCGTTGCAACGTGTTTCCTTAACCTGGCCGCGTGTAAACCAAAACGCATGCCGGAGCAGAGGTTTCACAGCTGCAGTACCTTGAGCCTCCCCTCTTGCCCAGCTGCATTTAGTGAGAACTCTGGGCTCTCCAGTAGAAATAGCATAGCTCGGAAAGAACCTCATAAACAACCACAAAGCTGAGAAAAGAAGACCAATCAGGAGCACCTCCTTCTACACATTGTGGTTCAGGAAATTCCGGAATTCTCAGAAACATAATTGTTAAAAGTGAAGATTCATAACATTTACCAGAAACACAGCAATTTTAAATTGGTTTAAATAATATAGTAATTGGTTACTGCAAAGTACGTATCACTAGTTCGTGATTGTACAAGTCAACTGTAAAACACATATTACCAGAAGATGTCTTTAATGTCCCAACGTTAACGTTTTTGACATTCAAATCTTGACAGTATTGCCATTTACTATCTTTTTGACACATTTTATCATGCTTTGCTGAAATCCAATTGTCAAACTAGTGATGACATAAAAAATAGTGGATTAAAGTTTTCTTTTTGCTTTTTTTAAATTAAGGGTCTATTTTCTAGACAGTCCTTGCTTTGTAAATCAAAATAAATGGCCAAATCTGCAATTTAATAATAGCTAATATTTCTCTAATACAGTCATTTGCAAAGCTTTCAAAGAGGAAAACACTGCTAGTTTTATTACAAGTCTAATTTTGCATTGCTTTTGGTCAGCATTGACTAATATGTCAGCCTTTTTCTTTAAAACTATCTTCTGTTTTAAATTAGAATGGTTGAGGTGGAGCGATGTTGTGAGTAAGATTGTTCATCACACTCTCTGAATCACGGGAAATCCCACCTATATACAGGTTTCTTAGCAGGAGTTATTCATCTCATAGTTTCCTTCCAATTAAAGTCAACATTGAAATACTACTAGCTTTAAAAAGCTGTTTGTAGATATCTAACAATATTTCTGTGGAAACTGACATACAAGCAACTATTTTCTGTGACTACAGTATAAGGAATAATTCTTAATGTATATACATTTTTTACTGTAATCAGGATTTTGGAAGACGCAAATTCATTTAAACCTACTGACTTGGAAATTCCAGAAAGTTTCAGAATTAGTTGGTTGCATTTTATTTTAAGGGCTTCGCTCATACTTCCTTTCAAAATTAATAAATTATCTTAAGTATAATTAGAGTAATTGAAAACTTTTTAATCCCAAATGAATTTGAAGCTTAGACAACTTGATGTTTTCTTGAAGTCACTACTTAAGATGAGAATCCTATCTTCCTCAATTTTAGGGTCCACACTTGGGTATACTTTATAACTAAAGGAAAGATTTTTGTGGTTCTGATTTTGAAGATCACAAAAATATCTGAACTGCTAGCAAATGCCTTCTGCAACCAAGGAATGTAAAAATAAAGCAATCTGAAATGCCAGAGTGAGACACACAGCCTTCTCAAGTCAGCTGAAACACAGTACTCTTTTACACAATCCAGAACATTCAGAGGGTTTTAGATAAAATGAAAAGCTCAGTTCAACATCAGAGCAGTTCCATGTAACCCTCAGTTTACATGATATATAGAAAGTAGTAGAGAATGTCTGTCTTTTTTACTTTTTACCCATGTTTTTCAATCTTATAGATGTTATGAATTAAGAATATCTGAAGAGTTCTTGACCTTATAAATAATATTGAGGATTTTATTTTCTACCTTTTATCATTTATGTCAGTGTCAACTGAGTTAAATGTGTTGAATTTTTTAAATATAAATTCAGTTAAAATGTTATTTTTAGCATAATTATAGGGTTTACAAAACTAATAAATCAATCACATTTACATTATAGATGTGAAAACGTCAGAATGATGCAGGAATGTAAAATAAAAATATCTTCTTAGTGTTATTTTAAACCTTTATTAATATGTAATTTAAATCGTAATTCAGAAAGCCTGAAAGTTTGCTAAACAATTAAGTATAGTTCATATTTTTACAAATTGGCATTTTTAACATGGATGCCTGAAATTATGTATTATTTTCCCACAGCATTTGTATTTTATGGAAAAGGGAAACAAATTTAAACACCACAAGTTCAGAAAGTGAACTGGTTATAAACCAAGAACATTTTGGACTCTTTTGTAATGTAGCGAATAGTAATCAATGACACACATTCGATGATGAAATTTGGGAGTTTTTACAATATATGTTTATAAATGTCTGAAAATGCATAGTCCTATATTAATTATGTTTTCTATTTAAACTCTTTGGTACACTTTAGCAATTACCTATTATGTGTCTGCTATGCTTGCACTGGTCAAAGTTATAAGGAGGGATAAGACAGAGCCCACACCCATGAAAAGTTCAG